AACCCTAGAAACGACTACAATAATCGCTATCACTTTGCAATCAGCAGAAGCTTGGACTCAAAAAATCTACACAAACCTGCAAATCAAATTCATGTCCAATACTCATCCGTAACCTGCTTCAAGATAAGATTTACTAAAGTTCTAGTGGGAAGTTACAACAGATGGGGCAAACCGAGTTTAACCTGAGGAAAAATACTCATCGATGACACTGGAGTATGGTACCGTTATATCGCGAGTTGAGAGAAGCAGCTAAATGTGGACCATTGTGTTCCAACCTAGTGGCTAGACGGCAACGTGCTCACTGCGAAACCAAGTGGCTGTGGGTTTGGTTCCTGGCTGGGTCTCAGCTACCAACTTCTCAGCAGTCACATCTTAAGACGAAATGTCTGTCTAGATCCCTAGGGTTTTTGGTGGTCATCCGATTGATATCAATCCTTGATGAATACTCACTTGAAATCAATAACCACCCAGGTTTGTTTATTTGTCCCATAGGGGAGTTTTCTCATAAAATGAAAATATCTTGCTTGACATTACAGTAACTGTAATGATGGCCCCTAGGTTCCCTCCAAAGCCAGTATGAAGTAGTGGTGCTTAATCACATTAGCCTGTCGACTGTTTTCACTGACACTGAAATCATCTTACTAGATACCAAAGTTCAAATTAAACGTATACCCCCTTTAACTAAAGGTGTTTTTTCTAAGCTGTTTAAGTGGTTTTTGAAAGGCGTTTTTCGTCACGTGTCTAGGATTTTTGATCTCTTTGAGATGAACAGTGCTGCAAATGCACCATAGAGAATCAGAGAGATAACAGATGTTCATACGGCTTATTTTTATCTGATAAGCTGCATTTCCTAACTTTTTCCATTTAACATTCCATCAATTCGACGTTCACAATAAACATCACAGTAATCTTGAGAGTATTGAAACAGTTTATCAGAAGTGTTTCGCAAAAATCACAAACTACAACCTATTCAATAATCTTTATTATCAGTCTTCTGTTTTCAACAGCATATATGTATACAGGTATATACCTACACAAATGAAAATAGAAGACTGATACATATATATATATATATATATATATATATATATATATATATACCATGTTGCATAGGGACTTGGACATTTTAAATAGAATTATCAGGAGTCCAAAATGTCGAGCTACTTGAAAAAATAATTTACCTGCCTTATCAGGTTTTGATATGCCAATCTTTGTTCTTTCTAGCTGATGTCCCCCAGTCTGTGCACGAATACACTAACCCCTTTACTGATCCAGTTAGCTCAAATCTTCTAAGTTTACTGAGTCTCGGATACAAAGAGATTTACATGTTTAGTTAAGTTAGATTACATAACCCATTCGGCTAGTTGCGGTATTCAACTGAGGTTTAAAAATGGAGTAGGTAAAAACTTATCAGAAGAATCAGCTGGTGAGTTAATACCCTTCTGAACTGTACTCCAGATATTTTTGAAAATTAGTTATATCGAACGAAAACGGTTAAAAGCATAAACTTAATTCCTAACAAAATGAACACGATTTTACAATGAGTAAAAATCGAATGTCTCATTGTTAGAGTGATAAAAAAAATCATATTGGGTAATGGAAAAAATGAGGCGTGATTTAATTAAACTAATATAAATGAAGCTTTAGCGTAAACTGAATTTTTTATTAAACTGACCACAATCTGTTTCTAAAATAAATAAAATGAATACCGGTCTCAATAGTAGAACTCAGTACTTGATATAGGATTCTTATGCAGTTTCTAAAAGTCAAATTCTGTTGATTTCCAAAATTTGATTCCCTGAGTTTTTCACGATGCAGACAAGACGATGATGGCATCAAGTGTTATCTCGTTCCCGAAAAAAATTGTAGCGTCTTTCTTTAGGTTATTTAAGTGATTCAGGGATTCATGTTTAAAAAGTCATGAGTGAATGATTTACCTTACATGGTTTCGAGCTGCAGGGCAATTCTGACAAATCTATAGAAATTGGAATTTTTTGGCCCAAGCTAGCCATTTTGGAAAGATTTTATGGATGATTCATTAACAGAAAGTATGTCTTTTAACCAAAAAAACCTATAGCAAACAGCGTTCACTCAGTTGCAGATGGATGATATATTTTTCAGCACAAAAGAGTGTAAATTATGATAAAGTTCCATATTTTTAAAGTGAAGTAGAAAATTGAATAGGTCCAGAGTCAGTCTATATAGAAAATAAATGGCAAACATTCAGCATAATTCTAACTAGCGAAAAAACACATGTTTTATTTTGAAAAATAAATTAGTGTCAGCACTGAACAGCTAATCTTACTGACACAGCAAATGTTTACATAAACGGATAATAGTTTTGGCTAAACTTGCCATGTAAGTTAAAACTTGGCGCGAGTCACTATGAATGCTCTTAAGACCATTCCTTTCGAAACTCGCTATCCTGAATAAAATTAAATGAAACTCAAGTTCTGAACAATAATGGCGAAGGTATAGGATACTTCATTTTGAAAGTTATACAAAATGGACAAATTAAACTTAAATATTAATATGGTCTTTCTTGTGAATATGTAAGAAAGAGTTGCAAAATATCATGATGCCAGTGATTTACTTCCTTTAAGAGATAAATACTGTTTTGGCCTAATTCTGAGTCTTAAGTTACTACCAGTATCAAAAGTGTTTGGGTTTGAACTAATTGCCTATAAAACTTTAAGTCAATGCTTACAAATCTCAAGAGGCTATTTCAGGTAACATTGCAGAAGTAAAAATCTATTTAACAAGTAACCTTTCAACATTTATGTGAAACTATTATTGTTTTTATTTCAGTCTCGGTAGTTATATTTGCCTTACTTAACTTATCGTTCTAAAAATGTAAACGCTGAAGATATTTCCTCAATAAACTTACTAAAAAATTTGTTTTCCGTAAGATTACCAGTTGAAGTAATTAATTAGTATGAACTGCGTAAAGGAAATATTTCCAAAATCATTGCAAAATCTATTGATGAAAGAAAACCTAAAGTAGTACATTGGTTTTTATGCTGTTTACAGGTATTTTATCCACCCTTCATAATGAACATGAGAATTCTATTTGAAAGCAGTGTGGAACGCAAAAGCCTCTTTTTGCAAAACGATTTTGAACACAAGTTATTTTTGAAAAGTAATCTAACCTCAACGAAGCCTTTTGCAAATTGTGCGAAAATAATAATGCTGAAGTGATGACCCTTAAAATTAAATCTGAAGTTCACTTTTTTTAAACTGGACGGAGCCCAGAATTTATATTTATGTAATACCCATGTATGTAATGTTTTTTTAATTCCTGAGAAGTATCTAGATATAGCTAGTGTGAACGGTGGCTGCGCATAGTTCAGTATAGGAAAACGAATTCGATAACAAAAACATTTTTGCCGGAATATGTTACAACAGTTACATAAATAATATATGTCAAATAAGATACAGATTTCAGTGTTTTTATGCAATACGAAAGAAAATATTAGTTTTGTTATTGTAGTAAAAGAACACAACACATTTGTGAAATTGCGTCGATAAACTAAATCTCAAAAGTCAAATAAATTACATGAAAATATACCGTAATTCTTGTTATTTCAATTATGTTTGACATTTTGAAAGTGATAAGCATACTGTCTTGAATGTAGTTATTGGTTGCAGAGATATCTTGATTTTTTAAGGCTAAGATGCATTTAGGCTACACATATCTTAATTTACAATTTATTCAATCCAAAAATTTTATTTCACAAGAAAAATAATTCAAAACTGTTCACTAACCCTTGAATTATAACTGGGTGAAAGCGAATAGTTTGTAAGCATGAAAAATTTCAAACCTTAAGACTCTGTTTGGCAAAAATGTCATTAAACTTTATGAAAAATTGCTTTAAATATTAGATACTACGACTATACCATTGTTTTCCAGTCAAGATATAAATGAATTCTATACCCAAAATGAATAACAGTGAAACACATGACTTGTTTTCAGCCCAGCAGTTAATTAGGTGGCTACAGAAATTTCACACTTTATGACTACCACATTCGAACTAATTTCAGTAAGGCGAAATCCCATATGTCCATCTGATAAAAAGATAAATTTCTGATCGAGTTTAGACTTCTATCGATTCATCGTCATTTTTCTCCAGTTTTTGTGTGATGAATAAATCTCTATCAGTTGTTCTTTCTTCATCATATCACCTTCTGCCCTAGGTCTTTTCATGCATGTACGATGCCATTACATATGATGACCGAAGTGAAGAAGACACGTAGTCGACAACTGGATCTCGTACTTAATTCATCATCGCAATGGACAGATTACGGGGGGCACTTTGGATGAATCCTGGTGTGATTAAGATTTTTGTTGAATTCCAATCACTACATCCTCATGATGAGACTGACTGGCTAAACAAAATCAAAGTAGAACATCGCTCATTTGTGTATCGGCTTAAGTTGACGAAGAATATGTGGATAGAAAAACAGTGATATCAAAGTAGACATAGGTATGTGAGAGAATAAACAAGTTTAAGACAACGGTTAGTGCAAATATTCAAGCTTTAGAACATATCAAGGACTAAATACATCTGCATCGAACTACAACCTCAAATTAAGGTCAGTTTGCATAATGCCAACCACAATATTTTTGACAAAACTGTGCATATCTCATTGACAACACAAAACGTTCTTAATTTTTTGGATAGACTAGGACATGAACGATATAGATGATGCATCTTTAAGATCGTGGTTGATGGGCATATTCAGAGAAACTTGGGCGATATACTTTTATCCTCATTCAGCTCAAATATCTTCAAACGTCACTTTGTTATCACATATTTACTGTGATTTTATGCTCGTAATTTCTTGGTACACCATGCTCTTATGATGTTCGGTTTCATGATGTCTTTTTGACTTAAAATCAACATCTCTTTTGAAATCTATTTCATCTTCTTTATTGTAATCCTAATTAATGATAGTGAAGGTTAAACCATAGAATAAAAAGAAAAATAGGCTATTCTAACCTTTCATAGTCTTCAGCTTCTGAAAGGTTATTTGAATCCATTGTCTTTTCTGATTCTGCCGACTGTATTCCATACTCTGACATGATAGTCTTCATATTTATTACTCTGCAAATTTATCTATATAAGAATCCAGAAAGTTTTCTTTTCATGGGATTATTAATATTCCACACTGGAGTTTCAAATACTAATTCCAATAAGCAATTTTAGTCTACATACAATGTCCACAATGCAGTAATATCATTTACATTACATATCTTTGTTTCGTTAGAACTTTAAGAATCCAAACATGGTATTAACTTTTACGACAACTATCCCTAGATTTCATCTCCTAACATAATGATTTGATTAGGTAATTCAATGGAAACCATAACGATAAGGATAATATTAGCGATAATAGTGGAGTAAAAAGTAAGTAAATATTTCTTCTTTTTCAGTTGAATTTCAAATCTGTGCATCCATCTACTACCTGTCTGCCTGAATGTGTGTCATTTTTATTTCCTGCATGCTTGTTTTTTGCTGTATTGATATTCCTCTTTCTATTCTTCCCTTACTTTTTATATGCATATAGGAAGAGAATAAATCAAGCTTTCATTCAGTAGATAAACATAGATCCAACTGACATGTAGAAGACAATTCTCAAAATAACTTATCCGATTACATTGCTTTTAATTGATGTTTCTCTTTATTACGTCAAATGAATAAAGTGATATTTCTTGACTTCAAAAATTTAATCACTGAAAAAAATAACTGATGAATTCACTCTCTCCTTCTTCCTGTTCTCTTCCCACCTTACTTTAAGTAACGTTTCAAACACATCTTAAACTAAACCGCTTTTATCATCTCAATGTGTTTCATATTGTTAGCAAATAGAAATTCTATTGAAATATAAGAAGTCTTTTGATAAAATGGATGGTTGGATAAAATGATTTAAGGTTTGTATTGGATAGTATGCTGTTATACTATTGGTTGTCTTGCATGTTTACGAAATGTCTAACTATGTCAAAAGTGAAACACTTTGGTAAATAAAATATTCGTTTTTCTTTCATTTTTAGTTGGATGCTGATCGTTTTTGTTCCTTTTCTTTTGATGGACACTTTAAAAGTAAAAACTAGCAAAAACCCTCAAGCTACGACTTTTACAGCAGCGTTCAATCCGGAAATATCTAACATCTCTTCCTTACAAGGGAATTGAACAGGATAGTGAATGGAATAATCATAAAAGCAAACAAAATTCAGTTCACACTGTACATTAGATGAGCACATTGAAAAACTGTGAGTTTTTCAGCAGATACAATGCTGAAAGAATAAAGAAATGTTTTATAAACGCTACACAGAATTTCACTCCACAGAAAAGATGTTAAGCTCGTAAACTCTAAAGCACCTAATTGACTACACAACAGTCTTCACTGAAAACTACAGCAACATATAGAGCACACTTAAAAAGTCAGTAAGATGCTTTTAGAGTATGGCGTTATATCACCTGGGAAATCTACTGGAACGACTCATGGAAAAACGGAAGTCGTACTGAAAAACTAGATGGATGACTAACCTCACATTTTGTATTCTGAGGGCACAAGGAGGGTTCTTGGTCTGTTAGGCTGAAAAACCATTTTATGCATTCCTAATTCTTCTAAACAAGTATGCAAGCAAGCTGAAAGAAAAAAGTTAGATGAAAAATACACGATAATGAAGGGGTGTTTCGGTAAACCAAAATATAATGATATTAGTACTTGATTATCAAATAACTGTTAAGTATTAAAAATAAATTCAACAGATACCTTTTAAAATTCGCCTTAAACGTACCTTTGCTTGAAGATCTAGGTGGGCTAGAAAGACAAATAGACTACTTTATACCTACCATTATACACTCTTAGATTTAAACAAGCAAGTTGCATAACTCCTTGATGATATGAAGAATGACCTGTACGCTAAAAGTAAATTTACTTATTGATTAAATAATAAAACTTTGTGCAAGTTCATCTTCAATAGACGAGTGCATTATAAACTGAAAACAGATTGTTCATATAAACTTCAGGGTCAAAACTTGACCTGATATAGTTGGATAAACTCAACACTGGTAGACTGACTGTAAATGAAATATATTTTTAAAATCCAAGTGAAGTAGAAAAATAAATTTCTGACGTTTTACGACTTCATGGAAATCGCTTCTTCAGAGAAAATAAACCTGTACAAGTTATTGACTGTTTAAATAGTAAATGGTGGCCAATGAGATCACATTGTCTATACATGATAATAGTAATGGGCATAAATGGCTTTACCAAGGTAGGTGTTGCGAAAGAACAAATTGTTTTTGTATACCTAAAGGTGGTTTCAATTTGTTTTTTTTAACTATTGCTTCCGTAAATCTCAGTCTACGTCCATGACTGTTTCCATATAAAACTATGAAAACTGTTTGAACATTAATTTTGTGACCTGTTTCTATAATGTGTTTAGCTATAGATGAAGAAGGTCGTTCTTCACCAATGTTTATCAAGGTTTCACAGTCCATTTGTTTTTGGAGCCATTTGGGTACACGTTTTCCCACAAAAATAATAAATGTATTTGTTATGTTGGTCAGGATGCATTGAAATTTTTCTTTGTTATCCATTATAAGTTTGAAGTTCAAGGTGACGTGAGTGAGTGCGCCACAGATGATAAATGTGGTTCGTTTGTGTGCATACATCTTTTTTCTGATCATTGTATGCACCGTGCTGTTTTTAGAAATACTGTCCACGTTGGTTGGACAGTTATGCCTTCCTTTCTCTTGAGTGCATTGGGATTCAACATACTGCTGCATGCCACGGCTATTCTTCATTCTTCTTTCTACATAACAATGACGCTTATGTCCATATTATTATCATGTATAGACAATGTGATCTCATTGGCCACCATTTACTATTTAAACAGCCAATAACTTGTACAGGTTTATTTTCTCTGAAGAAGCGATTTCCACGAAGTCGCAAAACGTCAGAAATTTATTTTTCTACTTCACTGGGATTTTACAAATATATTTCACCTAGAACTATTCGTAGTTTGAAAAGTTGATGTTTAAGTCTCTACGAATTCAGTTGAAATCTGGGCAGGTTGATCTCATTTGAACTGGTCTTTTACGCACAGGAGAAGCTATGACGATTCGCGCGAATAATACTCGCCTCCGTATCTAGAAGAAGTTAGCATGCTATTCATTCGGCCCGTTGGGCATTCGAAGCAAGATCATTGGCTTTATCATGTAAATATTCCTGTCTAATAATAATTAATAGTGGCCAGAAGCGGAATCCAGCAACTATTATATTCGTTCGAATTACATTTGTTTTGTTTTTCCAAGCTCCTGACCAGTTTGAGCACCTGCGTGTACACATTTCCATACGGTTCACTTTGTTAAAACAGCTTCAGTCAAGACTACTAATATGACTGCTAACGTCATAAGTTTTGTTATCACCACCATTATTACTATCGGTAAATTTTAAGATATTAATCACTAACAAACAAATATGCAGGATTCACTCATATATATATATATATATATATATATATATATATATATATATGGAGATATTAGGCTACATACTTTAGAGTTAAGCCTGGGGAAGATCTAATTGGGAACATTAATGTTCACATTTAGGCATTTTTTTAGTTTACACGAAAAGAACTTTGACATTTTCGCACCGTGACGAATAATTATCACCTTCCGTAATATACTAATACGCTTCCAATGCTCATCTACTCATTAAACATGCTTAACCTGCAAAAATGGTTATTTTTCCATACTTTCGCATCAAAAATTGGACATTAACTTGTGTAACCAAAAGTAATAAGACATGACCAATGAATCCCAGTTCAAACAGCTAATAACTGCCTACCGCTTACGCACTTATAAGGTAGAGAGTGTTCTTGCAAGAAGATTTCTTAAACGCTTTGCTTCGAAAAAGAGAGTGACCGCCAAAGTGTAACGTTATGCAGACGAAAATTTGCATTTTACACCAATAAAATATTCATCAAAAACACCAAAGTTCTCACAATAGGGAAGTACCAGTGAGACTAATAAAAACTGGCACAACATAGCTTGAGAACCGTGATTTCAAAGAAATGGAGCTAGGAACAAGTAAGATTCAACGTAAAGCGAAATTTCGCTCATTTCACGTTCACATCTTATTCCGGAAAAAGTAGGCGACCACACCACATTAAAAACACCAATTCTCGTCCGATCACTGGAGTTAAACAAAGTTGAGCACGGTTATTACTTGCATGGGTGATCAGGTAGGAATACAGGGTGTTGAGGCCTTTAAACCGTAGGGAAATTACTAATTCAATAGTTTACTAGCCGGTCCTAAGGCCAAATATAGAGGGAAGGTTGGGCATAGGGCTATCAACCCAACCTCGTGAAACCAATCCAATAGCCAAAAAGAAACTTGAAAACACAAACAAATATACAAATAAAAACAAACTTATTCCTCGCTAGAATCGGAGAAACCAAATGACGCCGGTTGGTGAAAGCCTGCAGGAAGCCAATTGGTCGATGTGTCTTCTCTTCTCTCGATTAAAGCAAAAGTAAGCATAGGGACACGGAATGTCCGAACAATGTTTGAAGCTGGCTGACATGGTTGCCCAGATAGCAAAATAAGTGAGAAGACATGGCACAGAAGTGTTAGGAATCTCCGAGAGCACATGGACCGGATGTGGACTCGTCAAACGATCAAGTGGAGAGTCAATAATCTACTCCGACATTGTCACCCAGACGACAACCATGACCACAATGAGTCTTGGAGTAGCTATCATGATGTCCCCCCCCTCGAGAGCATCGGAGGCTCTCTCTCATACACTGGAAACCAGTCTCCTCAACGATCAGGATCATGACAGCAAGATGGATTCAACTCGAAAGGAAGGAAGGAAGGAAGGTCACAATCATTCAATGCTACAATACACACATACAAAACAAATAATGCAGATGAAGAGAAGAAGCAGGAAGTCTACAGACAACTGCAATCAGCACTGGACAAGACCCCACCTCACATGGCGTCATCCAAATTCTAATGGGTGATATGAATGCCAAACTGGGAGCAGGAAGAGAACTCATCATGGGTTGAGAGGCACTCAGT